TTTTTTATAAGAGTTCTTTAGGCAAAAGCTACCAGTATACCGCTTTTCGTATACGTTGCATGCAAAGGTGTAATGATCAACAAGCTTGGATCGGTACAGAATATGATTTTAAATCAACCAAATTGGCATAATTTCAGTTGGATCTATCTTAAGTTCTTTTAGATGTTACATACATCTGTACAAACTTAATATAATTTGTACCTGTTTATCTTGTTTATCCACAAATGGACAGATGGGGTGGCACTCATGTCTATTTATGTACATGCGCCGCGGTTATTACGCAATTCTGATACACACATTGTGGTGCGTAGAGAAATGAATGAGCGATTTAACCTAATTTATTCTTTGTTTTTCAGTCTAGGCATCCATTTCCCTCGTTGGTAACTATATTCGAACAAAAGAAAGAATAATAAGTTAAGAGTATTTTTGGAAATTGTGATGTGACAGCTAAGCACGAAGATTGCTTAGAAGATGCTTTACCATCGCATCTACATTTGAGCTCAAGACAGCAATTATTTCTCAACATTTTTGCAATAACTGTAACTAATCTAAGAGTCTGTACAAGTTAAACATAAGCGGGAAATGCTTATATCTATCAAAAGGAACTATTTTAAGCCACTACCGCTTTATGCCTTAATCTGCTCAAGCAATTATTTCTTTTGCAATTCTGCATAAATAGCAGATTTTACTTTAACACTAACCAGTAGATCTTACATAATACAAACAGAATTATGCTAACCGTTGTTAGGATGTACGACTTAAAGGTAGTGTTGCTTTATATGAGATCGCGTTAGTTTTTGCAAATCTGTACTTAAGAGTCAACGAAAAACAATTATTTTACGTTTTTTTATGTAATTGGGTTATTATCACTTACATCACATTAAGAAAAAAAAAAACCTGCCAAGGAAGTATGCAATTAATTGTCATTAGATTTTGAAAAATACGTATCATTTATAGTCTTGTCTTTGTCGCTTTTTTTTTTTTTTGTTTTTTTCTATTTCATATTTTGTAATTGAAAAATTGCAATTGTTAGCACAGCAAAGTGAAAAACAAAAAATTAAAAGTCTGCATAACGTAACCACACCTTTCAGTTTCTTTTTTTTGGTTTTTTTTTTATTTTGGTTTTGTTTAAAAATTGAAAACACCATCTAGAAAGTTTATTGAACCTTTTAACATGAAAAGCGTGATTAACGTTTTGGGTTTGCGTTTTTATTTTTTTGTTTTTTTTTTTAGTTTTTTAAAATTAAAAAAAGCATTTTTTGACCAAGAAATAGCTAAAGATAAATTAAGAGCAAAATAAGATCGCTCGATACGTAAATGGGGAAAATTATTGAATAAGTTTTCGTGTTTAACGATTTTATTAAGCGTTTTACTTCAGTTTCATTGCAAGTTTAGTTGTAGGTGAGATTTTATTGCTATTCTTTAAATACACAACAACAATATTACCGAAAAGCAGCTTAAATAAAGACAAGCACGCCAACACTTGTTGTTCAACATAAAAAGGTATATATAATAATAAAAATAAAATCCAAAAATAAAATCCAAAAAAAAAAAAAAAAAGAAAAGAAAATAGCAAAAAGGATAATGTATTATTCATGAATGTTATGTAAATGTGTTAAGTGCATATGTGTGAGTACTGAAAATTTGTAACAAATTTTGAAATTTTAAATATAACTTGCAGGTGGTTCTTTTTGCAAAAACAAAATAAAAAAAAACGAAAAAAAAAAAAAAACATGACTTCAAGTCATGATATTTTAGTATTTGTATGTGTTTTGTAGGTTATTGCAGAAACCCCCAAAAGGAAACCGGTAAAGTAGGTGATTCATTATGATTCATATACTTATTAGTGTTTATTCAAAACGTTTTGATAATTTTATTAATTCTCAGGCTTTTTCTCCCATGCTATATTTTTATCGCATCCATTTACTGTATTAGATGTGATCAAATTTTACTTCCACAGAATCGATTTTTTTTTTTTTTTTTTTTCTTTCTTAAAGAATTGATTTTCTCACGAAGGCAATCAGTGGCCAAGAAGTACACATAGGTAAATGGGTGGAAGTAAAACGGGGAAACTATATGCCGTGTAAATCAGCTCTCGAACTTTTCGCAAACACTTAATCACCCATTAGCTTATGAATTTTATGCCAGCGATAAACTGCGTCACGCAATTCGCAAGAACATTCTGCATCGCTTAAAGGGCAAAGTGGAGTATCTGACATGAAAGTTTGGGTATGGCCTAAACTTTCTCCTTTGAGTAAGGCGACGCCTCTAGCTGCTCTAATTATTTAGTGGCCTTGAATACTCTCCATGGAATTGTACCCAGCAGTCACGATTTCCGCATCCTCTTACGGCAACTTTCTATACGCGTTGAAGAATGGTTACGACTATTTTTTGTCCATGCGATTTATCGGGAGGGGAATTCTGATCCACGTGGATTCATTGTTTGCTCTATAACGCACTATAGGCATTACGCCACTTTTGCCATAATTACTTGCGTAGTTGGGTTATTCGTACTTCCTGCCAGTTCAATTCTTTCCTACAGATTTTGAAAGTACAAGAAACAAGCACCAACCCTGCAATGCCTTCTCTGACTACCTCAGTAACTTCACATGTCAATGTCAAATATTGAGTGTCTATAGTAATTGCAGGCGGGCAAATACTGACATTCTCAATAACTACTCGCATTGTGCTTTTTCTTCATCGGGAAGTAGTCCGGTACAAGTCAATATGATTACTGTTGATAAAAATTATCCTTCAATCTTCCAAGCCGCCTATTATTACAGCTCTCGCAGTAGAATGGAAGTTTTCATATACTAATAATAAATTCTGTTAATTGAGTCGTTGTCTGTTGTTAAAAGGGGTAACGGTTGCACGAAGCACAGATCAGGTTGACTACACATTTTCCTACAAAATGGAAAAAGGCTGCGAAAAACGAGTGTCATTAGAGCGAACATCTTATACATCATTTGTGTGAAATTTTCAAGTCTCTTCGCATCGCAACAAGATATCATTTTCATAACTTTATCATGTAGGTAAATGAAAAATTTAAAAATAAAAATATTGTATGAAGTGTTGTAGCGCATTCAATAGTTGAACTTGCCTGACTATAATATTTTTACTTGCTTTCTTGATGGGAACCGAACTTGAAAATTTATATTGTAATTCGTTGGTTTATTTTAGTCATTGCCGAGGGATGAGGGGTATATTCATTTTGCCGAAACGTTTACAATGCCCACAAGGAAGCATCAGGGAAGCCATAAAGTGCATACATTCGTGATCAGCATCAACTTCTACGCATATTCATTTGTGCGATTGTTCTGCTATCCTCTTGGCCCAAAAGCTATTAAACTAACTTAATTAAACTATCGATTTCAAAATTGAGTTGAGTGCAAATTCTTGCACGCATTTTGGCATTGGCAAATGCGTCTACAGTATCACGTAAGCTGAGAACGTCTTATTTTTCAAAAGGATTAAGAAATTGATTTTATAAAAATTTGAACGTATATTCTATAAGCGATGCTGTAGTACCTGCAAATGGTAAAATGGAGAAAACTGACCACGTCTACCCAATATTATAGAGTAGAAAATCGTAATTGTTTTTTCAATATCTTCATAACGCGCAAAAACAAGCTTGAAAAACTCTCTAAATTATATAAATTCTTGGCCAGTTTCAAATTCGGAATGCATCTAATCATGTCCCGGTTTTTCATGGATGAATCTGTCCATCCAACCAACTATGTAGTATCTAAGGCAAACACTATCCCGTTTGTATACGCTTGCAAAAGAATTGCAAAATAACGTAAACCATTCAAAGGACCCGTCTACAACGCACACACACGTCTATGTGACAAAAACTTTAATTTTGAAAATAGAAAAAACGACTCGCGCCCATTCAACATCATAGAGCATGAAAATTTACTTCTTTCCCAGGATAAGGGTAATGGGTATAAAATATTCGATCACAACCGTATATAATTTTCTTACTTGTTTAGCTTGCATTTTCTAGAACTGAAATTTGCCATGATACGATCTTAGTCGCAGTATTGACGATTCAAAGATTTGCGAAAACCTTTTCTAAATGAATGACCAAAGCTTGCCACAAACTGAATGAAAAATATGCAATTTTTTGAAATATTTTAAATTTTCGCAATATATATATATATATATGTTCTTTTTGATAGGCGTTTCCGTTCTTTTATACAGTTATCATTTGGTTTTTGTTTCACAAAAGTCTAGAAAGAACTTTACAATATTTCTCATTATTATCTTTCAAAAGTCTTGCGATTGTTTAAATGCAAATTTAAATATTTTTTATTATCACATATTTATAAATATATTAATAATCATAATTTTAACTACTAATCAACTTTCACACAACGCAATTCTAAAGCAGCTAAGAATTCCATCAAATTGTTGTAATTATTGTGAGAAAATGCAAACAACAATGAATGCAAATATTCACGCATAACAATAACACAGTTTGTGATTACATTTACGATAGAGGGACGGAATAAAAAAATTGAAAGAGAAAAGAAAAAACATACTTAAAAAAAATTTTTTTTTATAATGTAAGTTAACAGTCATTATTAAAAAAAAAAAAAAAAGAAAAAAAACAGCCCACACTAGAGTTTCAATAAAATATTTAAATAAAATAAACAAACGTAACGGCATTTATAAGTAATTTTTAAAATCAACAAGCTGCGTGAGTTAGGTGTGCATATTTAGAGTAAGCGATAAATAATGTTAAGTTCTTCACTCTTCTACAGATAGATACATAGATAGATAGATAGATAGATAGATGTGTTCAGGTGCTTAACATCTTTTCGTGAAGCATTTACTAAAAAAGGAAGAAAAGTTCATTCACTTGAGAAATGTCTGAAATAGCGCTTTGTATAGTTTTGTGTTTTCTTCTTCTTCTTTTTTTTTATTGTATTGACTGAATTATAAATAAAGCTTAATAATGAGTGTCTTGTTTTTTTGTTATCATTGTATTTTTATAGTATGCGGTCCCCCAGCGGTACCACTTAATGCCAAAGTTCAAACAATATCTAATGATTCCGGTTTTATTGAGGCCAAGTATGAATGTGATGCCGGTTATGAACTTTTTGGCCCAGTGAAAATCAAATGTGATTCCCGGACTGGTTGGGATAAAGAATTACCGTTTTGTGGTACAAATGTGGCGTATCGTAAACCTGTTAATCAAAGCTCATATACGCGAGCGGGTCCAGCTCAATATGCCAATGATGGCGAGCAAGGCAATAAAAATCCTGACGGTCAACAATGTTCGGAAACTCAAAAAGAACCGTCACCGTGGTGGCGGGTTGATTTATTAACGCCACAGGCTGTGCATATTGTGCGGATAACAACAAGGGGTTGTTGTGGCCATCAACCGTTGCAAGATCTCGAAATTCGTGTCGGCAATAGTAGTGCAGATTTGCAAAGGAATCCTTTATGTGCGTGGTATCCAGGCACTTTAGATGAAGGCATTACTAAAACTTTCACTTGTGCCAGACCTTTAATCGGTCAATATGTAGCCATACAGCTGGTAGGCGTTGAAGGCAGTCTTAGCCTATGTGAGGTGGAAGTCTTTACCAATAACGAATTCTCGGTAGATCGTTGCTTAAGCTCTAATTTGGCCGTGGACACTGTTTTAACTACCTTCTCGAAGATGTGCTATGAGTTTCACGTTACCAAGGGCGAGAATTTCGAGAAAGCTCAACATATCTGCAAATCAACTGGTAAGCTCTTAATGAATATCCCTCTCTCTCTCTCTCTCTCTCTATCTCCCTCTCTCTCTCTCTCTCCGTGAGAGATAAGTTCATCCACACTAATGCAATTAGAAGAGATCTAAAATACTACAGTTCTTGTTACTGTCAGTTCAACACAACATTGCTCTTGTATAATATATTAGCAGTAGTTGTGAAGTATGTTAATGGTGGAAAGCAATTCCAAACAGAATTCAATAGATATTGAACTATGTAAAATAATGTCAAATATTATATTTTTACGGATAAAAGCAATTATGTCAATCGTAAACAACAAACGTATGTTCCTTTGTACACTTTACGAAAGTGTAGTCAAGATAGAAATACTTATTCTATATCAATTTTACAATGCTTTCGTCAAACTGTCTATCCGAATTATATGTTATATAGAGTGAGACAAAAGCAGCGATTTTATATTTCTACCCACAGGGTAGAAATCTCAGGTTTCGGTCTGAAAGGCAGAAAGCTGAATACGTTCTTAGCTGATAGCAACAACTTAAGTTTAAAAACAACCATCACTTATCTACAACTCTATTCACTACGTTACTGTACACAACACATATAAATCTAAAGTACTCGTCAACAACGGTTCCGAATATCATTGAAAATTATAGCGAGTGGATTGGTACAATTTGGCTTGCAAACACATCGACAATACAATCCAACCAAAATTATAACTTATAGCCTATGAAGAATATGATAGTGATCTAAAGATGCTTTCAATCAAGTAACGCTCGCATTAAAAATATATTTCGTAATTATTTTATATTTAATTGACATGGGGTGGCAAGCATCGACGATCTGTCGTTAGGTTAATGTAATTATCTTATTTTGTTTTGTTTCTGTAAACCGAAAGGTGGCGATTTAGTGCATGAATTTCGTGGACCAGCCAACGATTATATTTTAGCTGAACTGGAACGACGTAAGTCAGATTTAAAAACTCAACTGGTATGGATTGGGGCGCAAAAAGAACCAGGAATCACTTCGCGAACTTGGAAGTGGGTCAATGGTAAGTACATTAAAGGAAAATTATCAACTATTTACCACAAGACATACAAACTGATTCACAATCATTTTCTGAATCGATTACTCTAATAAAATGTGGGTCTAATCTAATCCTATCTCGATGTTACATAGTTCCGCACAAACTTAATACATATATATATATTACATAATACATAATACATACATATAAATTGTCCAATTTTATCCTGAAAATAGAAACAATCACCCGCGGCAATCCACTATTGTATAGAGTATAAAAATTTAGTTGTTATCCTTTTTTCTTAGGACCACAGTAATGAGGAGTATAAAAGAATCGGTTACGACCGATTAAAATTCTCTTACTTACCTTACATATCTTTAAGTTTTTCTATTCGAAACCTTAACTTGCAATTTTTTACAATCGTCTGACATTTTATATAATGTTTAGATTTACTCTTTATTTTACTAATAACTTCGACTCACCTTTCTTTCGATGCAAGTTTTCTATTCCACTGATACTTATTTTGTCACCGGCTTGCTTTCCCTCGGATTAATTCGTTATCTACTTAACTGTACTTAAATTGTATTTCTATCGATTTCTTATTTCTCTTTTAGTTTAGACTTTTTTATTTTATTACTTTGTATGTATTGCGACAATGCCTTAAAGGAAACAGTCTTTTTTCCTTGAGTTCAATATTTATTTATTTTTTTTTTTATTATTATACATGCATTAGTAGCTATTAATATTATTATAAAGTATTCGTTTAAGAAAACATGCAAGTTAAGTGTCTAATTATTAGCAAATACTTTAACCCTGAATTCTTCGAACGAAGTAAATATTTTGAAATCTACCTTTAGTCAGCACTCTCACGTAACTTATACCGTATATGATTTGGTTCATGTAATCCATACAAAAATTTTAATTAATTTTACATGCGATCAATTAATAATTTGTAATATTTGTGGTCAAATACTATCGTCACAATATCGTATATAGCAATTGCCTATGTTTGGCGATGTGCTATGCCTTATAAAGGGTTCTGTTGGTGCTTTAAAAAATGAAAGTTATTAAAAATTTGAAATGAGTTGAAAATTTTGTTGGTGTTAAGCTTTTCACTTTATTGAAAAGTACATTTTTGTTAATTTATGTATGCATTAATTTTTGTACATTTTAACCTTGATTATGAGCTCATTTCATTTATGTGAACGAACACAGGTGAAATAGTACAGAAACCAGCTTGGGGTAAAGATCAACCGAATAACTATAATGGCGAACAGAATTGCGTGGTATTGGATGGCGGTCGTAATTGGCTATGGAATGACGTAGGTTGTAATTTGGATTACTTGCATTTCATATGTCAACATGGTAAGTGAATAGTATAAAAAATAATAAAACAAAAAAAAAAAACAAAAAAAAAATAAATAAACAGACTTACGTGTTATTTTGTATTGTGCTCTTATAGTCAATTATTTTACTTTCATTTTCATATTCGTATTCACTTCCTTTCTTCATTATGTTAACGTTTTGCTCCATTTGCAGCACCACTTTTGTGTGGTTCACCAGATTCATACCACAATACCACAATCATTGGTAAAAACCATACAATCGGTAGCAGCATTCAATACAATTGCCCGAAGGGTCATTCATTAATCGGCGATGCAGAACGTTTATGTCGCGGTGATGGCACGTGGAGCGGAAAGGCGCCCACTTGTAAATGTATGCAAATGTTATTGAGTTAAACATTTATATGAAGTATTCTTCAAACTTGTTATTTACGTGTTATTTGTAGATGTCGATTGCGGTCCATTGCCACAATTGGAACATGGTTCAGTGCACATGTCTGAGCAGCGTACAAGTTATGGTGTTCAAGCTACTTACAGTTGCCATGAAAATTATACATTAATTGGCAATGAGAATAGAACTTGCGAGCTAGAAGGTTGGTCAGGTAAACAGCCAGAATGTTTAGTCGATTGGTGTCCGGAGCCACCAACCATTGTTGGTGGTACAGTTAAGGTTAACGATCGTAGAGCAGGCTCGACAGCAATATACGAATGCGAGCAGGGTTATGTGTTGGTGGGAGAACCGGTAAGTTTTGCAGTTTAAGTGCATTCTTGGCAAACAAAAAAAAAAAAAAACACACACACACACACACACACATAGCATAACAGTATAATTACGATAACCTTTGTTTAATTAATATTTCATAAAAAGTTGTTTGCTTTAGCTTAAACAACTATATATCAGGATACCCTACACCATTTCGCTTCATACGATTATTCATGTAATGACTTTTCAAAATAAGTCGTTTTATGGGAAGTGATGGAAAAAGTAATTAGGTGCGAACCATTTTCACTAACGTTTGTGCTTTAGGGCAAAATTTGTCGGTGTAAAAAATTTCATCAAAACATCTCAAAAATTGTGATCTGTATGTTGAATACAAGACGACCAGACGGACATACACGTTTGGATCGATTCCGAAAGTGATTTTGATAATAAAACCTGGGTCTATCGCAAGACCTGCTGTGTGTTGCATATATTGACATGAACTTAATATACCGTTATATACACGTCGTGTAGGGTGTAAAAAGTTAAAGTTTCCATGATTTAAGTTAGACTGATGTGATTTTTGTGAACAATTTTGAATTTTCTGAGGCATTTACATAGTTATTCTTACTTTTAGATAAGCTCTTGCGGTTTGGGTGGTGAATGGTCGGGCAAATCGCCGTCTTGCCGTTTTGTGGATTGCGGTTCGCCAGCTCGTCCTGATCACGGTGTTGTGATGTTACTGAATTTAACAACCACAGCCGGTTCTATGGTTCGATTTGAATGCGATGATGATTATTGGTTGGAAGGTGCCTCTGAGTTATATTGTACAACCGAAGGAAAATGGTCTGGAGATGTTCCTATATGTGAACTTGTTACCTGTGATACACCCACTGTGCCGCCTGGCTCATTCGTAGTCGGTTACGATTATAACGTGCATTCAAAAATTACTTACAACTGTGATCCAGGTCATGTGCTGAGAGGTAATTCTGTACTTGAATGCTTGGACACTGGCGAATGGAATACGGAGGCTCCGTTCTGTGAATGTAAGTAAATTTCAAAGAGTAAAATCTACTGCTTGTTGACAATCTTCTTGTTTATTGGATAGACATTGATTGCGGAGCTATTACGCCTATACCGCATGGCATTCATAAGTACACAATGAATACTACGTTTGTGGGTTCGGAAGTAACATTTAGCTGTAGCCAAGCTCACAAACTTAGCGGAGTACCTAAACGAGTTTGTTTAGAGTCTGGAATTTGGAGTGATATGTCACCCAAGTGTGAAGGTATTTTTACCTGAATTTTGTTTTTGTAGTTTCAGTTGTTTCTTAAAGAAACGTATTTTGCTTTTAGAAATTCGTTGCACGGAACCGATTTTAGCTCCGCATAGCCTTTTATCAGTTACCGGCAATGATCGCATGTACGGACGTACATTGATTCGAACTTCCGAATCAATACAAAACAGCGCTCAAACTTATAGGTATTGTATAAGCTATGCTTACGTTTTCAAGAGAAATCGGTAAAAAATTTCACCCCTAGAATTGGAGCTTTAGCTAAATATCGCTGTGAAAGAGGTTATAAAATGGTTGGTGAAGCTTTAGTCACTTGTGAGGATAATGGACAATGGAGCGGTACAGTACCGGAGTGCATTTGTAAGTTATTTTATTTTCTTTTCTTTTTTTACATATAAAAGAATGTTAAGCCTTCAAGTGGCTAGTTTTCAATGTTGTATGAATGTTTTCTTTTCTCTTCGTAATTATTATTTATATTATTTGTTGTTCGAAATGAATGCTAAAGATGTTGAATGTGGCCCTCTATCAAACATTGACCGAGGCAAAGTGACTCTGGCCACTAATGCTACATATTATGGAGCGGCTGCTTTATATGAGTGCGATATTAACTTTAAACTGGATGGAGTTTCAAGACGTTTATGTACCGAAGACGGTACTTGGAGTCATGAAACACCCAAATGCATTGAAATTACTTGTGAGGAACCGGAATTAAGCGAAAATCTGATTATGGAAGCTGGAGCAAGATCGATAGGATCGCTGGCCAAATTCAGATGTCAAAGGGGCCGAACATTGTTCGGAAATGATACTCGCGTTTGCCAAAAGAATGGCAAATGGACAGGCAAAAGTCCGATTTGCAAACGTAAGTAAAAAGTTTTTTGAGTTTTCCTTTTTGTTAATGAAATATTTGATTTATTATATTAGCGGTAGATTGCGGACGACCTTTGCCTATTGAAAATGGTCGTGTTATTGTTGTAAATGAAACAACTTTGTATGGTGGGTCAGCTGAATATCATTGCGTGCCCGGTTTCAATCGCATTGGCCAGTATCTGCGGAAATGTACAGAGGATGGTGCTTGGAGTGGCGATGAACCGCGCTGTGAATTAGTTGCAACTGAGGCTCAGGAAAGTTCAGGTCTAGGCACGGGCATTGCCATTGGGGCAACCGTCATTATTGCTCTACTAATAATGATTGGCTTGGTTTTCATACATCGCAACAAGGCGCGTCCCGTTAAGAATACGGAAAATGTTCAAGCGGCCGAAACAAAAGATGAACGTAGCGCTGCTGTTATGTCCTATTCAACACTAGAAGCCAATAATCGTATGCATTTAGATAATGGACCACCGGTTACATTTAATACATTCCATGGAGCTGGTAGGGGTCTATCAAATGGTAACCGCACAATAGGTCGAGGTATATAAAGAGATTAATAACTGAAGTTACAAAGTAAACTTTTTTCCTTCCCTTTTTGGTTTAAATTTCGTTAACAGAGAATATCTACGATCAAATACCCAACGAGCAATTATATGATGCTCCTTATGAAATGCGTACAAATGATGAAGTTTATGAACCTGAACCCACTACAGCTAATATGATTACTATAAACGGTATATCAGTTAGATAAATATGTATATAATCTCTGTTAGTGATTGTTGTTGTTGTTATTCACAAGCAGCTATTATCCAAAATTTATAGAGAATTCATTTTATGAGAAAATGAAAGATTTTTTAAATCCTTCCGCTTCAATTCCTTGTTTGTATGAATTTTATATAAAATAAAATCAATTTCATATAAACCCTCACCTTTTAACATTAAGCGAGTTCACTTTCCTAGTTTCCTAGTTTATGTAAAATTTAAAAAAAAAAAAAAAAAAAAAAAAAAAAAAA